CTAACTATTCATACATATAACACAGATGTGTCCCAGAGGCGTTCCCTGAGTGAAAAAAAGGCAGTTACAAAGGCTACATAGTGTATGACTTTAACCATATGACATTCTTGGAAAAAGAGAAAACTATTGTGGTAGAGAACAGATTCATAGTTGCCAGAGGTGAACAGGGAGGGATGCTGACTATAAAGGGACAGCACCAGGAGTTTGGGGTAAGACAAAACTATTCTGTATTCAGCAGTCAATGAGTGGTTGAAGTATGGCCACTGGAACTGGCCAACACTCAGCTATTGTTACAGTCATATTCTACTAAGTTAGGTTTCAATTTTGTCTTACTATTAAGCTAGGTTACAGTTCATCCAAAAGGACTCAAATATAGAAGTACAGAGTCCTTCTCAGACCATATTTAGCTTGCTTTAACAACTATAAATGGATTTCACCAAAAGATTGCTAGTAACTTTATCTTGAGTAACTTGAAATTAGCTTTTTTCTCTTTTTGATTTTCCATATTTTCCAATTTTTCTGCAAGGAATGTGGATTGCTTATAAAACAAACACACACAAATAGCGAAGAATTTTAAATAAGAAAATTTTAAAGTAAAATTAGCTATCATTCATTTGAATACTTACCATGTGCCAGGAACTGCAAAGCACTTTCCACACATTCTCTCTCACTTAATCCTCAAAATTTATGTAAGAGGTTCTATTACTATTCCTACTTTAAAGATGAAGAGATGAAGCTTGGGGCCATATGATGGGAACTGACTTTGGAATGCAATTATATATGCCTGCATGCAAAAAACCAGCTACCCTCATTAATACTAGACTCAGCTGAGCTGGCTGACTCAGATGGCAACTATGTAAGATTCAAAACCCAGATATGACTACCCACCCCAGCCCCATATATCCTAATCATTCTCTCCTAGGTAACTAGCCATATGGTAGACTGAAAAAACTTGGCCACAAAGCTCTGGAGCTCCTTCTTTGAAGAGGTATATTCCCCATTCCTCAAATCTGAGCTGGCCTTGAGACTTGCTTTGACTGACAGAATATGGCAGAAATGACATCGCATAAGTTATAGAGGATTTGTAAATTTCACTCTTATATTCTCAGAACAGCCCCCCCAAGACCACCATGGTGTAAACAAGCCCAAAGTGAAATACCACATGGAGAGAGGCCTAGCCATTCCTGTTATACCAAATGAAGCCAGCCCCCAGCCAATAGCCTTCCAAATGAATGGAGCCACATAAGTGAGCCCAGGCAAAACTAGCAGAAAAATTGCCCAGAAAACCCATAAAATAGTGAAAAGTACTATACTGTTGTTAATTAAGCCACTAAGTTGTGGGATTATTTGTTATAGAGCAATAGCTAACTGATACAACTTGAATTTACAAAGTGAAAGAAGATCTCAAGTCACTGAGGTGCCTGTGTTGGGCCAATGATATAAAGAAATATTATTCAGTGTGGTACAAGCCCTTTCATTGAGGTCGTTATTGTTATTATTTGAGATGGAGTCTCACTCTGTCACCCAGGCTGGAGTACGGTGGTGCCATCTTGGCTCACTGTAACCTCTGCCTCCCAGGTTCAAATGATTCCCATGCCTCAGCCTCCCAAGTAGCTGGGATTACAGGCATACACCACCACGCCCAACTAATTTTCATATTTTTAGTAGAGATGGAGTTTCAACATATTGGCCAGGCTGATCTTGAACTTCCAACCTCAAGTGATCCACATGCCTTGGCCTCCCAAAATGCTGGGATAACAGGCATGAGCCACTGCACCCTGCCTCTCCTAGGACACAGATCAAATCCAAATTCCATGGTCAGAGAGAGATTATAGGTCTCACACTCCCTTCCACATAGACCAAAGGTTTCTTCTTCTCAAAACACAGCTATGTGCAAATGAACAGATACTGATGAGACAGTCCAGAAGATTATTTAAAAAAAAAAAAAAAAGGAATGTCAAAAGAGAGTTTTTTCTACATAAAGGCAAGGAATTGTTCACATAGGAAAATGCGTGCTGAAACCAATTAATATATTTCCTTTGCTTTTAAAACACATTAGGATTTTATCCCAAGCTTTACTGACTCATGAAACATATTAAATGTAGCAGGCTGAGTTTCAATTAAAGACAGAAGGCAGGGGTCATTTACCTACAACTAAATACTTCTTCAGTAATAACAGACTCATGAGCAAATGGAACTTGCTGCAAGGAGAATATGACAACTTGTTCCCATAGCTGTCATTTTTATTCAGACACAAGTGGCTCCAGACTAGAAAATCATATTAGCTCAAAACATGATACGGAACTCATTATACTAAGAGATGTTTCTTGCATATGGGTAGTTCCTTATCAACATTTGCAACCATGATGGTAGAAGAAAGAAAAATACCCTAGCTTTTTGACAGAATGACTTAGCATATTTTAGTTTTATAAAAACCAGAATATTATCACAGATTAATCAGATTCTTAAACTGAAATTATGGTCTACTTTTTAAAGCTTTTTATTAATCTTAGAATGGAAAAATGCAAACAATAATAAAAGGCATCAGAGTCCCTGGTATAAAGCTATGTAACTTGTTAAAAGCAACTACACCCATAAAATACTGTAATGGCGTTTAGGGTTGGATGACGACAATTCTTTTCAAGAGAAAGTGTCACACAGGAAAAAGAATTCAGATGGTATCTTAGAGCTCCTTCACAGCAGGTCACTTTGCATTCCCTATTCCCTTTTAAATGCTATGAACATTACACCCTCTCAGCCTTTCCTTCCTCTCCATTTCTCATATTTCTTGGTCTGTTCCCTTTGTTGATTTCAATCACTTGGCCCCTTCTAATTCCTCCTCGCCTTGAACCTTATTCCTCTCCTTTCTGCCTTACCTGATAAACAAAAAGCAAAACTGCTCCTTACATAGCAGTCCTGCATTTCTCTGGTGGTGGCACAAAGAAACAATTCTCTCTCACACAGGATTGGGTTACCTAGCAATTTCCCAGGTCTTTCTTTTCTCAAAGATTTCTCTCTCTCCCTCTCTTTGTTTCTCCCACTCTCTCTCCCTCTCTCTCTGCAAACATCTGATCCATGATAAAAGAATGAGGGTACATTTGGTAGACTTACCATAAGCAATTTTTAAACATTTCCCCAGAGTGGTACTAGACATAACTTCTAACATATATAAGTGGAAATTAAATTCAAATCAACAATTACTGAGTGTCTCCCACCTGCCATGCCTCATGCTGGGGATAGAGATCAGCATAAGACTTGGGCTCTGCCATCAAGAAGAAAACATAGCAGAAATGGTAAAGAAATGCAAAGAATAGCAATCACCTCATAAACATCCCTTCAGTATCACCAACTGCAAAGAAATTCTCAGGATACTGAGCCTCTGTTTCCTCATATTTTAATATTACTAATATTAATATCATTTAACATGATATTAACAATACTTGCTTCACAGGATTATTGCTGTAGGAGTCAAACTAGAATGCGTGTGTGTATGTTGATTTGTTTTTGCAATTCCTTGTGAATCTATAATTATTTTAAAATAAAGTTTTTTAAAAATTTAAACAAGAATGTGATTGAACATATCTTGCAACTATGTAATTCAATTTCAATTATATTCAATCATCATTTATTCAGCCAGGTTCTGTGCTAGAGAGATTGGAAATAAACAGGAAATCCATGATTCCTAAAACTAAAGCACGCGAAGGCTGAGGCAGTAGAGAGACAACGTGAAAAATATAATAGTGTGATGTGTGTTGTATTAGATATACAGAAAATGTATCTAATCTTAGATAAGAGATTAGCTAATCCAACCAGGGTATGGAGGGAGGGAAACAAGGAAAGAAACAACAAGGCATGCTATAGAAACAATGTGGATAATAAAATGAGTAATCATCTCTCATTAAAGCCCTTTATGTTCTAGTCACTATATTAGGCACTTTACAGACAATATTCTCATAAACAAAGACACTACAGAGGGTCCCCTTCTTGAAAACATTCCACTCCATTAGCTTACAGAGTTTGGCCTTGGCGACTGCAAGGTCTAATGGTCTCAGAAGACTGCTACCCAAATGGAAGGAGAAAAGCACTGAACCAGAGGTGAAAAGTGATAGGATGAGAAATCCTGCTCTGCTACGATATGGCTCTAGGAATGTCCCTTAGTTCGCTGGTCCTTAGATTCCTCATCTGCGAAATGGGAATTTAACACGAGCTCACCATGCAAGGTTGCTGGGATAATGAGTGTGAAAAAAGTCTTTGAAATCTATCAAGTGTCTTCAGGGTAAGAACCAGGCTAGAAATGTACCTGCCTAAAGGGCGAGGGAGGTAACATAATTGAGCAAAGCAGGCCTATAAGAACTCTCCCAATTATATCAGTTAGCTATTGCTGCATAACAAATCAACTTAGTGGCTTACATCAACAATGTATATTACTTTTCACTATTTTCTGAGTTTTCTCAGCAGTTTTTCTGCTGGTTTTGCCTGGGCTCCCTCACATGGTTCCATTAATTTGAAAGATTGCCTGGGGGCTGGGCTCATTTAGAATAGCAGAGCAGCTACTACTTGTTGGTTAGTGTTGAATGTTGCCATGTAGGAAACTGGGCTCCTTGTTGCCAGCCTATTTTTCTTGAAAAGTCAAAAGATTTGTACGTGTGACTGAATGGATGTGTGTGTATAAATCTTTGATTTTGAAATATTAACTAATTTTTTAAGGGAAAACATCATGTGATTCTACAAAACATATCTATGGACTAGATTTGGGGCTTGGGCCACCAATTAGTAACCTCCATGTAAAGTAATGTTTCCTGCTGGTCCTTACATTTGTGTCCATTCTACTAGGTTTTCCTTAATTACAGGGAGCCATATCTGGCTCATCTGGGCTCTTTTCCTTAGTCCTGGTTTTTTGAACAGTAGTTCTCAAAGTGAGGTTCCCCACACCAGCAGCATCAGCATCACCTCCAAATTTGTTAGAAATGCACATTATTGGCTTTGCAGACACCGCTGCTGCCTGGAGCCTTGTATTATCAGCCATGGTCAACCCCACCATGTTCTTTGACATTGCCATCGACAGCAAGCCCTTGGGCCGCGTCTCCTTCAAGCTGTTTGCAGACGAGGTTCCAAAGACAGCAAAAAACTTTTGTGCTCTGAGCACTGAAGAGAAAGGACTTGGTTATAAGGGTTCCTGCTTTCTCAGAATCATTCCAGGGTTTATGTGTCAGGGTGACAACTTCACATACCATAATGGCACTGGTGGCAAGTCCATCTACAGGGAGAAATTTGATGATGAGAACTTCATCCTAAAGCATACAGGTCCCGGCATCTTGTCCATGGCAAATGCTGGACCCAACACAAACAGTTCCCAGTTTTTCATCTGCACTGTCAAGATTGAGTGGTTGGATGGCAAGCATGTGGTCTTTGGCAAGGTGAAAGAAGGCATGAATATTGTGGAGGTCATGGTGCACTTTGTGTCCAGGTATGGCAAGACCAGCAAGAAGATCACCATTGCTGACTATGGACAACTTTAAAAAGTTTGACTTGTGTTTTATCTTAACCACCAGACCATTCCTTCTGTAGCTCAGGAGAGCACCCCTTCACCCCATTTGCTCACAGTATCCTAGAGTCTGTGCTCTTGCTACAGTTCCCTTTGGGTTCCATGTTTTCCTTGTTCCCTTCCATGCCTAGCTGGATTGCAGAGTTGTGTTAAGTTTATGATTATGAAATAAAAACTAAATAACAAAAAGAAAAAAAAAAAGAAATGCTGATCTCTATCCCCAGCATGAAGTATAGCAGGTGGGAGACACTCAGTATTGAGCCGCACCCCAGACCTACTGATTCATATACTCTAGGGATGAAACCGAGGTATCCGGAAGACTTCACACTGGTTCTCAACCCTAGCTAGGCACTGGAATCACCCTGGAGAACTTCATAAAATATCAATGCCAAGGTACCAGCCACAGATTAAGACTTTAATGGTCTGGAATGCAGCCTGGACTTTAGGATTTTTCCTCATTTTTTTTCTAGTCAGTCTCTTGCTTATCCAGCCTTTAGAATTTTTAAGTGACTCTAATTTGCAGCCATGGGACTTCACTTGGACCTTGAAATTAGGGGAAAAAAAAGAAACTGGTTGAGACTCTACATATCTCTGGGGAAAAACACTGGGGAATTAGAACATTAGGAAAGAACCCCATTTTATTTTTTTATTTATTTGTAATGGAGGCTTCCTCTAGGTCTTCTTTCCTTGAACTTCAAATATATCAGTATTTTGGTCATTCCCACAAAGCACAGTGCACAGGAATGAATGCAATTCAATGCTTTTCACAGCTTGTCTTCTGGAATTTTGTTCTCTCTCTCTCTCTCTCTCTCTCTCTCTTTCCCTCTCTTTTTTTAGACTATAGTGCAATGGTATGATCATAGCTCACTGTAACCTCAAACTCTTGTAGGGAGGGATTCTGCTTCCTCAGCCTCCTGAGTAGCTTGGAATATAGGCACACACCACTGCGCCTGGCTAAATTTTTACTTTTTGTAGAGATGGGGTCTTGCTATATTGCATAGGCTGATCTCAAACTCCTGGCATCAAGTGATCATCCTGCCTCAGACTCTTAAATTGTTGGGATTACAGGCATGAGACACCATGCCTGGCTGAAGTTTATTTTATAATTTTTTAAAAATGTTGTTGGGAGAGGGAAGGAGAAAAAGAGAACAAGATGGGTAGAATGTATATATGCAAGAAAAGGGAGGGCCACATTCTGAACAAAAAAAAAAACAACTTGAGCAAAGGCTGGAGGTGAATTCTGCAAGGGGAATTTAGAGAATGAGGAGACCATCTGACCTAAGGCAGAAGATATGTGCTGAGAAATGGAAGTAAATAAACTCAGATAGGTGGAATAAGAGTCTTACCTCAAACAGACTTCAAGAAGACAACAGAGAGTATATTAGAGTTCTCCAGAGAAACAGAACCAGTAAGATGGAGATATCTCTATACATGAATGGGCTCATGTAATTATGGAGGCTGACAATTTCTCTCTCTCTCTCTCATTTTTTAATATAGACAGAGTCTCACTATGTTGCTTAGGCTGGTGTCGAACTCCTGGGCTCAAGTAATTCTCCTACCTTCCACTCCCAAGGTACTGGGATTACAGGCATGAGTATGGCTGGCTGACAATCTCTAAGAACTGCAAGGTAAACTGGAAAGGCGGAGACCCAGGTGAGCTCACGTAAAGAAGCAGGAAAGAGCTGATGTCTCAGTTCAAAGTTAGTCAGTCAGGTGAAGTTACTCTTAGACTTTGTGTTCTACTCAGGCCTTTAACTGATTTTATTAGGCCCATCCACGTGAAAAGAGCAATACGCTTTTCTCAGTCTACCAATGTAAATGCTAATATCATTTTTAAAAGACACTTTTACGAACACACCCAGAATAATGTTTGACCATATATCTGGGTACCCATGGCCTAGTCAATTTGACACGTAAAATTTATCATCACAAGGAATATGGACTTGTATCTGTGGACTAGCATTTCCAAAACTCTACAATTCAAATGTCCCCTACAGAAGTCATGTTGAAATTTAATTGCCATTTTGATGAGATCAAGAGGTGGTACGATAAACAGGTGCTTAGAGAATCCCTCGTGAATAGATTAATGCTGTTATTAGTGAATTGGGTTCCTGATAAAATGGGTAAGTTTGGCCCAGTTTTCTCTCTGTGTCTTGCATGCTTGCTTACCATGCCCCTTTCCGCCATGAAATAATACAACAGGAAGGCCCTCACCCAATGCCAGTGCCATGCTCTTGGACTTCCCAGCCTCAAGAACCACGAGCCAAATAAATTTCAATTATTTCCAAGTTACCCAGTTTGTGTCTGTTACAACAACACAAAATAGACTAAGACACAAAATATAGTTTATGAAGACCTAGGCCAATACTCCACCAAAAAAGCTCTGTGAAAATACATGTCTTAGAAAACACTGCATATTGAGGCATATTAACACATCAAAGCTATGAATCATCCTGCAGGAAAGAAATGGTTTATAACTTTGTTAATTCTGGCATTTGATCACAATGCCAGTTTTTTTTTTTTTTTCTGAGATGGAGTTTCGCTCTTGTTACCCAGGCTGGAGTGCAATGGCACGATCTCGGCTCACTGCAACCTCCATCTCCTGGATTCAAGCAATTCTCCTGCCTCAGCCTCCTGAGTAGCTGGGATTACAGGCACGCACCACCATGCCCAGCTAATTTTTTGTGTTTTCAGTAGAGACGGGGTTTCACCATGTTGACCAGGATGGTCTCGATCTCTTGACCTCGTGATCCACCCGCCTCGGCCTCCCAAAGTGCTGGGATTACAGGCTTGAGCCACGGCGCCCGGCCAACAATGCCAGTTTTTTACTTAACATCTATTAATCTCCCATGGAACTAAAGTTTCACATAACATACTTTGGGAAAAGCTACTCTAAGCTGCTAGAAGATAATATGGATTTAGAATGTGGAAAGGGACATGAAAACAGGATTTTAGTAAAATAAATTTGACAGTAGTGTACAGTGATATTAAAGGGGAAGAGCCTAGAAGCTGCAGAGCGCATACCCTCTACTGCAGAGCTCAGCTAGAAAGCTACTTTAGCAATCCAGGTCTGAAGTGATATAGGATTGTACTTGGCTGGGAATGAGGCAGAAAAGGAAGATAATGAGCCATTTTATGGAAAAGTACTTGTGCATATAGATTCTAAATACAAAAGAGTAGTAGAAAACTCCAAAGTTTGGGGCTTGGTAGGTAAAAGACTAAATGGCCACCAAAGGAAAGTCTAGTTCAGGGGCAAAATGTGATATGTTCAGTTATTGATATGTTGGGTTTAGAATCGTGGTAGAAAGAGGTCTGTAAGAAATATATAGCCATTTTTGGAATTATGAGACTTATGTGAGAGACATCAAAACTATAAATCAATTTGGGAATCACCAGCATAGAGATGGAAACTAAGTCATAAGATTAAACTCTTACTCTCCTCCCCATTTCCCTCAGCCAAGTCAACCCCTTCTCTTTGTAAGTGGCTTCATTTTCAGGGGCATGCTTCTCCAACCAGCCTTGGGTCCTCTTGATAAGACTCAAAAAGCAGCACTTTTAATTATACTCATTCCTGAACACAGCTCTGTGCTCTATAGTGGTAACTATGCACCATCAGCAGGAAGTTTACAAAAATAAGCCCCGGAGGGAGTTCCTTAGATATACAAGGAAAATAAACTTAGGAATTTTATCACATTTATGGAACACAAGTCAACTATGGAGAGAAATATTCTGCTATCCTTACTACATACCAAACCACTGGCACATACCCTCTATTGCAGAGCCTTAATATTATATAATTCCAAAGCTGAAGGTAACCAGACACAGTAGGTTTTAGATAAATTTCACAAGCTAAAAAACATGCACTCTTCTGGAAGCTTGTACTTATGAAAATATGTTTGAGCATTGTCAATCAATTCTTCAAGGACTTACAAAGAGACTTCTGTGTACTTAGCTCTGAAATGATCCATAGTCTTTTCCCTTCTCCTATACACTGAACCCCTGGAGTTGCATAGTCCCATATTTAAATTCTAACTCTCAGCCCTATGGGCCTTCTGGTTACTTAACTGCCTTGGGCCTTGGTTTTCTCATCTACAAAAATTGGATAAAAATATGTTATTCATGTGTTTATGCATTCATTCAGCAAATACTTTTCAGCTCCCACTTAAGACTATACCAAGTCTTGGGTACTCTCACAGTGGCAAAAGAAGCAGGCATGGTCCCTATAGACAGGGAGCTTAAATCTTAGAGAGTTTAAAAAAAAAAAATCAAATAAGCCGGGCGCGGTGGCTCAAGCCTGTAATCCCAGCACTTTGGGAGGCCGAGGCGGGTGGATCACGAGGTCGAGAGATCGAGACCATCCCGGTCAACATGGTGAAACCCCGTCTCTACTAAAAATACAAAAAATTAGCTGGGCATGGTGGTACGTGCCTGTAATCCCAGCTACTCAGGAGGCTGAGGCAGGAGAATTGCCTGAACCCAGGAGGCGGAGGTTGCGGTGAGCCGAGATCGCGCCATTGCACTCCAGCCTGGGTAACAAGAGCAAAACTCCGTCTCAAAAAAAAAAAAAAAAAAAAAAAAATCAAACAAAGTAATGTATGCAAATTACAAGGTACAGTGGTTCATGCATAGAAGACACTCAATAAACACTAGTTCCTTTGTTTCCTATAGATCAGAGCACATAAACTCAAGTGTCTATGGTGGCCAACATAAACATGTGCAGCAGTGGGGGCTGTGGCAATGTGATATGGAGAGCTCATGACTTCATTAAAGGGTAGAGACACTTTCAGCATCAGCTGATTGTTTCTAGAAGGGGATGCAGATGAGTGTTCTCCCAGTTTTTAAAGAGAAGCAGGAAATATCTCTATATTTAAATGTTGACAACTGATTTCAAACTATAGGTGGGCCAAAAAAAAATACATCTGACCTAGGGGCTGCCAGTTTGCCACCTCTATACAAGCTAACCCAAAAGGCAAG